CATCCATCCGTCCGTCCGTCCCTCCATCCATCCATCCATCCCTCCATCCACCCATCCCCTTAACACTCCCTAACAGCAATACTTCATCTGCCTTCCCCAATTATGTTTGGCTCACTTGATTTTTATGTATATATTTTTTTTGTCCAACACCTTTAATCACCTCACAAATTCCCCATCCTTATAAAAAGAGGCACCACAAACATTTCCAGCAATCCGAGTTTTATTTTTGGCAATTCTTTTTTACTGCAAGAGAGGCGGTGGTGAAAACAAACAAAAAAAATGCTTTAAAAACACGAACAAGACAGAGATTGAGAAAATATTAACAAGGCCCCGTGCTTTCTGCTAAAGTGCCTTCATTTCATTATCATTAAATTTGCCTAGTAATTAGATTTCGGTGCATGAATATTTAAAAAATATATATAACAGACAGGCTGTCAAAAAAAAAGCACGACAACATCAATTGGATAATTTTTGAGATGGAGACATTTGTAAGCAATTAACACGGATTTCCTGAGTTTGGAGACTTTCGTTTCCTTTCTTTTCTTCTGCTGCTGTTGATTTTTTCCCTCTTCCAGCTTCCAGCTTCGTGTTCTCCACCTGGAATGGGAAGAGTACAGCTGTAAATATGGGCGCCACCATTCAGGCTTTGTTCTGGCCGCGGTGCCACCCTCTCCCTGCTCATCCCCATGGGGTCATGCTGGAAGTCTCTGCTTAAATCAAGGCTGCACAGAGCTCCTTGCCTTCATCTTCAGGCATTTCTGCTGAAAACAGTGATTTTGGTCCCCATTTGCATAATTGCACAGTTACATGCTCACCGCTCCCTAATTGCATGACCTGTGCTCGACATTGCTGCTCGCAAGGGGCCAAGCCAAGGTGATGCTGCACCCATCCCTGTGTTCCTGCTCTGCAGTGCGTCCGTTTCGGAGGTGCTCAGAGCATGCAAAGACTGAGCAAGGCACTGCAGAGCAGCAGCAACTCAGCAGCCAGCATCCAACTTAAGGCGGACGTTTAATGGGCGTTTTGTTTTTCATCGCTTCCATCATTTCAAGCAACTTAAGAACACACAAAACAGCCACACAGAACAAAAAATCCCAGACCTCAGCTCGGGTCACGCCTTCCCAAAATCTCCTTTTGTAAGGTTTTATCAGCAAGAGCAGGGAGTGGAAGCAGTTGGTACAAGCGGCTGAGAGACCAAATCAAAAGCATGTGAGCAGATTAAAGAATCAATCTCCCCATTTGATGCGGAGGAAATCCCACCAATTATAAAGAAGGGGCTTATTTCCCGGAGTCGCTCTGTTTGAAGTCATCAAAACTAGCAATACTTAATTACTCTACTTTATGGAATATATAGCATGGAGCTCCTTCCCAGCTTGCCTGCTTTCTGGTGCCATTACTGGTGCTGGGGGCTTCCAGGGGGTGGTGGGGATGCTCCTCCTGTACCTCTGCACTTATTTATTCAAATGAAGCCCTGAACAGCCCTATACGAGCCTGCGGGGAAGCATTTAAATGGACTTTAAAAGGAGGTCATGATGATTCAGCCACTCAAGCTACCTGGCTGTTACTGCGTGTGCTCTGCGTGTCTGCTATGCTGGCAAACACCTTCACAGCCTGGAACTGAGGGTTCAGTCAAAGGTGCACCTCATCCCAATCCTTGACCATAGAAGGGGTCGGCTGCAGCTCTTACAAGCTCCTAAGCAGCTTTTACACTGACTTGGTATATCTAGATGGTGTCCATAGGTGGGAATTCACTCACTTGGATGATCTGGGGAAAAGTTCATGAAAAGAGAGGGGTGGGCAGACACGAAACTGCTTTGCGTCGAAATGAGGAGAGCGAATGCCAAGGGTCTGCCTGATTTTCCACATCTTCTGCAGCCTCAGAGGAGAATCCCTCCTCCCATTAATAAATGAAAGCCAAGGATAAAACGACACTAAGTGTGTTTTTCCTAAATTGCTCTCAATCTTTACCCAGCTGGAGTGGGGAACTTGGGGATCTCTGCTTGCACCCAGCCCTGCAGGTGCTACATCTCCATAGGGAGCAGCAGCACAGCCTCAAGTGTTATGTGAGGACTGCATCCCCAGCAGGGTCACCAGCAAGGATAGGGTAAAGGTAAGGGTTAGGGTTAGGAGGAGCAGGCCAGGGGGAGCACACAGGATTGCTCTGCTTGGAGCCATGTGGCTTCACAGCCAAAAAGTGGGTGAAAAGGAGTTTTTGTTTCTTCTTTTTTTGTGTGTTTTGTTATTATTATTATTTTTTTTTTTCATCACCTTGAGGTGGAAGGAAAGCTGCTCAGCCCCAGCTTGGCCTGGCTGGTGAACAATATTGGTGTGAGCAATGCTTCGGGAGGGACTGTGAGCATCTGTGGACCCCCAACTTATGGCTCTGCTGCAGGAAGGCAAACTGCAGCACTTCCCACCCAGGACATCTTCTCCAGGTCCCCTTCCTGGGCTCCATTTCCTCCAGACGAGCATCGACACCATTTGGAGATGCCCCACTCCTTGCCTCTCCTTGCTGCAGGTTTTTCAAGCCTTCCCGAGCAAGGATCCATGTCAGTACTCATGGGCAGCCTCAGCCTGATGACTTTTCCCAGTTCATAAGACTGGCAGCAATGACAATGCTCTGAGATGGACCTGAAATAAACCCCTTCTGTCTTTGCCCCTTTGGAATTGAGGCAAAACCCCATGTGAGCACATTGCCTGTGGGCTTTGGCCTCTGGTTGTGGGCTTTATGGGACAAGAGGAGAAGTGAACAACTGTACTTTTTCTAGCTGGCAAGGAAACTGCAAGAGGAGAAATGGATTGCATCCAAAAGGGCTTTCTAAGGCTGGGTGCTCCCCCACTGCAATCCATCACAGGCAAGGGGGCAAAGCAAAGTGCTTGGGATCAGCTCAGCCCATTGGGGGACACCCCACAACTCTCTGCTCCACGGGCACAGCTGATGGATGCTCCCCTGTGCCAGACTCCGGAGGAGACAGCATCCCTAAAATCAGCACGTCGGCAAGACCTGCACCCCTGCATAAGCAAAGCAAGGTCTGGATCCCCACCACCCCTTTGCAGGCCCTATGGGAGCGGGGTGACACGGAGCATTCTGCATCCCAAAGCGCGGCTGAGGTCCGTTTGTCACTTTTCCTTCATTATTTGCTGTTTGTACACAGGCATCATTAGGGATTCATTCGGTTTCCCTAGCAGCAGGCATTAGTCTGGCTTCCCTTTCCCCCCTCTCTCTCCCTCTCTCACCAGCACCCTTTATTTTTAGTGTCTTATTTACAGTTTGACAGAGTAACTGTAACCCTTGCAAGCTACTCCAGCGGCTTTAATCGGGGGAATAATGGGTCCTGTCTGGCGATGAATAGAATTTAGGGGACAGATTGTTCCACACTCGCCCGGTGGGGGTAATTTATTTATGTGCGCACTTGTCAGGAGGAGAAAGGGATGGGGGATCTGTATGCGGCGAGGACATCGCGCCACTGAAAGGCGGAGGGGAAGGGAGAATGGAGCCAAACGGCCCTGCTCCCACTGCCCCCCCGGCAGCTGAATGCCTCCGGTGGCCGTGAACTTGGAAGGGCTGAAAGCCCCATTCCCAGGCTCTGGGCACGTCAGCGGGGCTGCGATGCTGCCGGCAGAGGGGCTCGGGGCTCCAGATGGGTCCAGGCGCAGCGTTCAGCCCTCCCTGGTTCTGCTCGCATAGCGGCGGCGCAGGGAGCTCGTCCCATAGCAACGGTACAGTAGTGGCGGCACAGCGGGGGGCTGGGAAGAGAGGCAAAGCCCTCGGAAAAAATACAGGATGGGTCCAGACAATGGTCCTCTCTCATATCATAAATTACACGGCGGTGACAAAAAGGGATGGGGCTGGTCCCCTCTCCTCGATCCCACAGCCTCTGGGCTCGCTGGGAGCCCATCAGCATCCCTGGGTCGAAAGGATGCAGCACCCTTGGGAGTCGTGTTTGGGAGATGCGTGGGGGGAGAAAGCCCCTTTGCCGTCCCCACCTTCCCACCAGCAGCATCCACGCCTCCTGCACCCACTGCCCGTGCTCTGCACCCTGTGACTGTGCTCCCTCTGCTGATATTTCAGGTGCCCAGGTTCTCCTAAGTCATAAAAAAAGGCCATTTTTTTCCCTCCTGTTTCCTCACTATGGCTCGAGACCTGGAGTGTTTTGCGTTCGTTGCTGGGGCCTCCACAGTTCAGCACAGCTTCTCCAATGGGCTTTCATGTAGGGAAATTTTTCATAGGGAAAGATCCCTATGGGACATGGTCCGATGGGCTCTCAGTCCCTGAGTGCCCCAGCCTATACACAGCATCAGTCTGAAAAAGAAGGGTCTAGGCTGCACCCATGCAAAAGAGATGCTGGAGCTAAATAGCTGAAACCCAGGAGCAGGAATGTATGCCATCCCAGCACCGTACTGAGGACAGGGAGCAAGTTGGTGGCTGAGCAATCCTCATCCTACAGCCACATCCTGCAAGGTGAAGCCCCTCATCAGAACAGCTGTAGCACTGCAAGAAGTGCGTTGGCCAGAGCAGAAGTGCCTCGGGAGAGATGCTCAGAGCAGGGCAGAGCACACACCACCACCTCACCCACCCCAGGGTACAACCAGGACCATGGGCTCCCCACGGGCATCACCGCACACCTTTGGAGAGCTCAGTTCCTCCAAGCTGGAGGATGGCACAGGAGCACTGAACCAAACAGAACAGCAGGCCGTGGAGCAAATGGGTGAAGCCTCGTGGTATGAGGGGACATGACAAGGATGGAATGCAGTAGGTCAGGTTCATGGATGCGTTTCAGCTCCAAGCTCTTGCCAGCTCAGGTGATTCTGTGACTCTCCGGCTGCAGGACAGCTCATGTGATGCTCCTGGTGTTTCCATCACCCCCAGGACTGAGGGCGATGCGCACTGTCAGGAGCAGAGGTCAGAATGCTGCCCTCTTGCTCCTATGAGGACAGCACGACGGCACCCAACCCAGCCCAAAAGCAATTTAAGGAAGACCAGGGAGACCTTGACAGAGAGACCAAGAGCTCTCCTTGTTCAGCTGAGCTCAAACCGTGGTTTGAATTGCCTGCATGCAATTCAAACAAAGCAAAAACACACGGAAGGAAAGGTGCTCCCACCAGGAACCCCAGTGCTTTTGCTGCCCACACCCTGGCCACATTGCTTGGAGAGCTGGACCCTGCACTGCCAGAGCGGGGACCCTCAGCTGGGCACAATGATGGTCTATTCTGCTGATCACAAGCCTAATCCTCTTTGGTTTTTAATTGGCATTTGGGCTAAGCTGATTTAAACCTCTTCACCTTGTTGGGTCCCCCCTCCCCACTTCTTTCTTTTCTCTCTCTCTCTTTTTTTTTTTTTTTTCTTTTTTTTTTTTTTTTGAACCCAATAACAACGCTGCCATCACCGAGCTCCCAGCACAATGGCATCTTTGTGCGAAGGCGAGAGGAGAGGAAAGGGGAAGGGAGGGGGGGAGCGGGGAAAATGCGCTGAACCTAACTGGGAAACAATGCTCAGTTTGTGGAGCAGCCTTGACCACTGGCAGAGCACCCGTTTCAGCTGCGCCACGTTAATAAATGCCCCGTCCCATCCGCAGACCCAGCACCTCACCTGTGCCCCCCCCCCCCCCCCCCACGGTGCCCCCCAGTCTCACCAGTGTGGCATGGTGCTGTGTCCCATCCCTGAAGTGCTCCTGCTGTCCTTACAGCCCAATGCCAGGCTTGCTCTGTGCTGCTCCACGTCACCAGCTGCTGGGAGGAGGAGGAGGATGGAGGAAGGCACACACAGCGACCGTCCTCAAGATGGGTCCTGCTAGCAGCTTCCCATATCCAGGCTCTGCTGTGGTTGTGGTTTTCCTTTCCAGCCTCCACTCCTGTGTTCATGCAATAGCGAGATATGATCAAAGTTGAAAACCACAAGCAACAGCAGCTCCTTCCCCTCTTCCCCAGATTTACCAGCAAATAAGCGCCTCAAAGGATGCTGCCTGTGGGCTTGGAGGATTGGGAGTGAATAAAACAGCAACTAGAGACCATGGAAAAAAAACCACAGGGGTATGAGAAGCTGTGCAGTGCATGGTGAGCAGCAACACCATGCTCCCTGTAGCCTAGTCCTTGTGCCCATGGGGCAGGTGCTGGAGTCTACTCAGTCCAAGGAGCTTGGGTTTATGGATAGCCATGAAAATTAGGCTCTTACCAGGCAATTCTGAATGAACTTCCCTCAAGACTCAAGCATTACTCTTGGCTGGCCAGGAAAAGCGTGGAGCATCACAGCAGGAGAAGCTACTCTCTGCGCTAGTGGAGAGAAAGAGAAAAGGGAATGAGAGAAGGATAAATGTCAGCCCCAGTGCCCCCCAGCTGCACTACAGATGATGATGGCCACAGAATTCACCCAACATCCCTCATCTCCATGGACATCCAGCCCAGGAGTTACAAGGCAGAGCCAAATGCTATAAATTCCATTCAAAAGAACCCCTTTTTTTCACCTGCCTCGTGAGGAGCCGTGGTCCCCAGGCTTCCCTCTGTCACCAGAGCTGCTGAAAAACCTCAAGCCCAGCCCCAAGACCCAAAGTTTGTGCAGATCTGGGGATGCTTAGTGCTGTGGCATAGCCATCCAAGGCAGCCCTGCAGCTCAGTAGGACCACATGCTACTTTCCCCACCCCACTGCTCTGTTCTGTCCTGGGTTGCCAGCACAGATCTGTTTTTTACGTAGTGATTTGCCTTGTGTATTTCCTCTCCACATAAACCTTGCTTCACCCATGGCAATTCATGGGCTACTCATAGATTTAAGCGCCCAGTGCCAAATTTACTTGGCATGTTTAATAGGGGAAGACACTGGGGCCAAAGAAAGATCCTTTTCTCTTGCCCTTCAGTCCCATAAATCATTGATAACAGCACAGAAACCAAGAGGAGCGAGCAGTGGAAAGGAAGCAATAAGCCAAGGATGGAGGCTCAGCAACACAGAGCAGCGAAGCCAAAGCTCCATCCCCCAGCCCACGTCCACTCCTTGACTGCATCTCAGCATAAAAAGCGAGAAAAAGGCACAAAAATCCATCTCCCTCCTCCCCCCCCCCAGTCTGAGCAGTGAGAAATCAGCTGAGCGGCTCCAGCTCAGCTGAGCAGCTAAGAGCCTTAATGCATTTTTGTGGGTGTTAGGGAATGAGTGCCCATTCCTGCACGCGCGGGGCTGGAGGTGCTGGGTCACCTCCAAGGGATCAATGTCTGCATGAGGATGGCGGCCTCAGCCCCAAAATGGGCATGGGGTGATGGAGTTCATGCTCCAACCCGATGGGAAAAAAAAAGAGATTTGGGGTTCAGCTCATTCCACACATTCAGACCTTCAGGTTTCTTGCTCTCTTGGTGATGGATAGATGGGGAGACATCAGGAAGCACCAACGCAACCTCATGGAGTGTCGAGATCACCACCAAACTAGCAGCCACCCACAATGGGCTCTGCGGAGAAAGCACCCCAAAATAAAAACCTCAAGCATCAGGACAAAATCTGTCCATCAAGAAGCTCCCAGCAGATCAGGTGATATTCCTGCTCCTGTCCGACCTCATGCTGTCATTTCTGTCCCTGCAAATCTTCCATTGGGCACGTGAGGCCCTATGGGCCACGTACAGTGCAAGGATGTTCTTGGTTGTGTTTCACACCGATATTATTCCCCCCCCAATCTTTAAACAGCCACAAAACATTCTCAATTAATCCAAGAAAAGGGGGAAAAAAAATAATCAAACAGCTGCTTCGTTAGTATTTCTGCAATACATGAGAATACAAATGTGGGCTGGAGCCACTGCAAGATCATTTGGCAAAATGTGAGTGAAAATATCCCCCATGACACAGAGCAAATTTTAACGACCACCCCAAAACATGTTGTAGAAAGGACTGGACGCTCACGTTGGTTTTACACCCGCCGAAGAAATGGGGAATGAATCCAAAGGAGAGGATCTGGGGGTGATGCTGGAGTGAACACCATGGGTGGGAAAGGGCAAATGTGGGTGAGCAAGGCTAGGGTGAGCACAGGGGGCACGAGTGGGGTGTGGGGCCATCGTGGGACGTGGGGGCATGGGTGGGATATGGAACCGCAGGCAGAGAGGTGGGGTGGCTGCAGCCACAAGCGAGCATCGGCCATTTTATGTTGGCTGCCTAAAATGGTGGCTCACACCTTTTTTTTCCCTTTCTGCTACTGTTCCAGCATGCATGCACCCACGGAGAGGGGAGGGAGAGGGCCGCAGCCCCCTGCGTACAAGGGTGCAGGGAACAAGAGCCAAGATGGAATTAGAAGGGGGAAATTAAAGGAGGGGAACAGAGGGGGGGGGGGTGAGCGGGAAGGATGCGCTCGCCTCGACGCGGCCCATCCGCCCTTGGCTTTATGTTCCGGCTTTATCCTATGGCAGGGAGAGGCAGGAAGGCATCGAGGGGGGAAAAATAAATGGGGGGAAAAGGGAAAGACGTGTGCAACGTTTGGGCAAGGACAGAGGAGGGGGCAGGGAGACGCGTGGGGCGCAGGGAAATCTTCCCTCCTTTCTTCACCGACCCCCCTCCCTTCTCCCCCCCCCCCCACCCCCTCCTTTTTCACCCTCCCTGCAATCCCGCTTTGACTTTTCCCACAGAAGTAGCCAACCTCCAGGAATGCAAATGACATTCATTATGCAAATGCATGCAAATCAGGTTTAACTATCGGAAGAAGGGCTCAGAATTGCTAATGGGTTAACTCTTTCGCACACAACCATGACAACAAGAGCCCTCATCGCGCTCGGGCTTTGTGCTCCTCCGTCCCTTCCCAGGCACCCCAACCCCGTGCCCTTACTGGGATCCCCATAAGCGTGGGATGAGGGCCACGGGGAGGGTGGGAAGGGGAACAAAGCACCAGGAAAACAAGAACAACAAAAACTCCATTGGCGTGGGAGTGGCTGCCCCTTCGTTAGGCGCCGGTGGGAGATGAGACAAAGGCTGAAACGCAGAAATGGAGGGAGGAAAAAGGAAAAAGAAGAAGAAAAAAAAAAAGGAAAGGGAGGGGGAAAAAACCCAGCAGGCTGCTATCAAACAGATGAGAAATACGTCATTGTGGTGCATGGGCAAAGGGTGATGGCACCCTCCAAGGTTTGAACATGGGCATCCAGGAGGGTGCAGAGCCACCGTAGCAAAAATATGACGTTGCTGAAATCTCAGCCTTCTCTCTTTTTTTTTTTTTTTTTTTTTTTTTTTTTTTTTTGGTATCAAGGGAATAAAAGCAGTAAATAAAAGAAAAACTGACAGCGTTTCTCATGGTGGCATCACCTGGGAGGGACGGAGCACATGGGAAACCGTGGCCACGATGCAGCGGTGCTGCAATGCGCCTGGGATGATCCAAGCACACCAAGGCCATGCTGGGCTCGAAGCAAAAAACCCCAGGGCAGAGCTGTGTGCCTGCTGCAGGGAGGTGAGGTGCATGCACAGCTTATGGCTCAGTCATTAATAGCCACGCTCTTATTGATTAGCATTAATAATATTGCGTTTCCGTGCATTGGAATGCGTGCTTTCTTTACGTCTTACACCTGATCCCAGGCCGCTTTGCAAGCTAAAATGTCGAGCCTTTCTGCAAGCCTCAAGGGAAAAAATATAAAGAAATAGACTAATTGACCCCTCCTTACCAAAATAAGGATGAGGGAGGAATAAAAATAAAACTGCAGTGTGGGTTTCTGTGTTTACCCTCTGTCCTCTAGCTGAGGATCTCCCAGCCATGCTCTGCTGCTGAGTGCACCTCCAGTTGCTTTCCATTTCCGAGTACAGAAGCGATTCCAGAAAGCTGGAAATGGGAGATTTTCATTCTTACCATGCTTTCCCATATTGATTTTTCATGAACTAAATGCACACACGGGGTGGGAGGTTGGTGGGTGCAACCATCCCGGTGCCAACAGCCGCTTATCGCTAATGACTGAGGTGCAGCGTCATTACGGAGCTGAGAAAGCAAACCTCCTCAGGAAGATGCTGCAGATGCTTCCTTAGGATTGCACAGATCGTGTGTAAATTGTCATTTAGGAGAGGTGATAACAGGGTGGGATTTTGCACGTACCTGGAGTCAATGGTATCCCCAGCGCCGCCGCAAAGGAGGAGCGGAGGTGGCTGAAAGGAGAGTTGATGCTTTTTAGCACAGCGTGGAAATCACTCGGCTTTATCAAACCTCCCCCCACTGAGCGACATGAATAAAGTGTTATTAACCATTTTTAATCATTTTCACCATTATTATTAATATCGTTATTATTAAAGGAACTCCTGCTTTTCCACCCTCCTCCTTCTCCATCCCATTTGACGCCTTAAAAGCCATTCCCATTTGCCTCACCCCGCCTTTGCTCTGTTTCTCATCACCTCTTCGGCCCTGAGGAGATCATTTTGGCTGCCCAGAGGCACAAAGCAGAGCTTTGGGGCATGGAAATGCCAACACATGCAGCCTCCCTCCTACCCCATTGGAAGTCAGCTTCCAAAAATGCTTACAGCTGCTTTGTGCCAGAACCCCACAGGCAAAATGAACATGTTTATCCACGTTTATAGGAGTGCGGTCTGGCAGCTTAGGGAATGATATGGTTGGGGAGGTAAAAAAAAAAAAGGAAAACTGATAAAGAGAAGGAAAGCGAAGAATTTTTACACTGAGGTGTTAAGAGAAACCACTGTTTGCAGAAGTTGGAGGTCAGGGGGAGAGGAAAGGTGGAATGGCTTTGGGATGGGCGCCACCAGGGGATGCAAGGCCTTGGTCCTCACTTGGATTTTCCAGCTCTGTCAACATTTTTACTCCTCACCGTCTCCAGCAGCATCAAGAAAATGCCTGGAAGGTGCACTGTGTAGGGAAACGTGGCTGGGGTGACACAGGGCGGCCGAGCATCCTCCCCCAGTTGCACCAATGGCTGCTGTCAGAAAGCCCAGCTGCATTCTGGAGTACATCCCCAGTTTTTGCCCATCCTGGATGAGGATGTCATGAGAAATGAACAAGGGCACATTGGAAGCACCACGCACGGAGCGACGCCAAGTGCTTTTGCACCCCAAACAGCGCACAAACAGCTCTGATGGGACAAATCTGTGCCCTAAGGAAAGCACCCATAGCACAAACCACAACTTCCCACCTCTTCCATCGCAGCAAAGGCAAAAAAAGGGGAAGGAGGATTTTGCAGCAGCAAACAGAGGGGTGTGGGCAGTGCTGGGGGCACTCAGTGCCCATCAGCTCCCAGCGTCACGGGGCAGCACAAGGCTGGGAAGTGCTGTTGGATGGTAGAACCTCAATTCTTCCTGAGGTCCTGCAGGGGATTTGTGCTTCGAGTGCCAGCCCTGAGGACGCAGGAGGCAGCACGGTTATTTTTAAACCATGATTTTCTCATCTCAGTGTTTTCTCAGCCTTGTTTTAAAGCCGGCTCACAAAGCATTTGGGGGCCAGGCTCCATTATTCAGCAAGAAAAAAAAAAAAAAAAAGCAAAAAAGTAAAAAAGCAAACAACCCCCCCCCCCCCTCCCCCCCCCCCCCCCCCCTAATTTTCCCAAAGACCTCAGAGGCGTGAGCACTCGAGAGTCAAATTTGCCCAGGACCCGCATCCCTTAAGAAAGCAGCGCTCATTCGCCTTCCACAAACTCTGCAGCAGCAACAAAAGTCCCTTTCAAGCCCTTCCAGACGCAAGTCCTTCAGCTCAATTAGTCAGGCACACAGGGACACAAAAAAGCCTCCCATTCAGGCTAGTGGCTGGCTGCGGAGGACAAGGGTGAAGAAAGGATCTTTCTCCCACGCTTTCACTGGGTGTCATAACAAGCAGAAAGCCCTCTTATGGGAGGATTATTGGAGATAAGAGCCCAGCCAAGGGGCTGGGGCTGCAGGAGGAGAGCACGGAGGACGCCGAGGCTCCCACCAGGGCCAGCACGGTGCACGTTCAAAATGATGGTGTTGGCCTCCTCTGCCCATACACAAGCTGAATAATCCTGGTTTTCCATGGCAACCCGCAAAGCAGAGAGCCTTGAAGCCGTGGGTTCTGTGGCCGTGAGCAGTGCGTGCTCCAGAAAGCATCCAGCTCCTCAGGAGTGGAATGGCCTTGAGATTTTATATTATAGATACATGTATGTTTTCATGAGGAGCAGGTTTCTCTGGGCTTCGGTTGGTCAAAGCTTAAACCAAAGCAGAGGAAGGGAGCAAACTCCCCAGAGTTTGTGCAGAACCCGCAGCCATCAGTGGCCCATTCACCCCCTGCAGCACCTGCAAGTCCCTGGACACCAACAGCTCTGCACGGCATCAACACAAGCTTCCAAGCCAACTCCATCCCTGATAGCCTTCATCAGCCAGAATAACATACCCATTTCCCCACTCCTTCTCCATCAACTCCATATGCATCTCCAGAGAGCACTTCCAGGCCATCCAAAGACACAATTCCTTTTATTTTTCCCCTTTCAGCTCGTTCGTGGGAGATGAAGACAGCCCAGCTCATGGTGGTCAGGGGCTCAGGAGGCTACAAAACCAGCTTGGGGCTGAGGAACCCACACAGAACCCACCAGCCCTAATTGTAGGGTATGGGGCACTTCCCTCCCTCTGACACTGACTGAAAAGCAGAGCAGGAGGAAGGGCTGGAACGAAGTTAACACCTCAATGGAAGCTCTTCCTCCTTCCCAGGGAGCACTCAGTGCCTCCAAAAGGGGATCACAGTCCTGCAGTCCCTCATCTAATCCCTGTTACCCACACAGAGCCTTTCAAAGGGAACAAAATGGATCCAAGGACAGATACATAATACTTGTTTTTCTATTTTTTTTCCTCCAAACAAAACAATTTTGAGATGGGCATTGCCCACGTCACACAAACCCATGCTCACCCCCAGCACTTATTAATCACATTTCCCCCCCGAGATCTAGGTGCAGGGATTTAAGACCGAGCTCACACACACTTGGCACTGCCCCCTCTGCCCCTGCCCCGGTGACACCAAAAGCCCTGGAAGTGGAATTAGAATGATTTTTACACCTCCTAGGTCTGTCAGAGCCACAGCTTAGGGATTACACAGCTCAGCATCGTAGCCACGAGCGTTGGCTCTCAGCAGCAGCAGGGCAAATCCTCATGTCACACCGGCACAAGACCGCTGATGGGAGCACAGTTCAGCCAGGAGCTGCTGCCACCCTCACAGACCTCAGCGATCCGCTGTCTGTGATTCAGCTCTCAACACATTTCCCATCTTTTCCAGCAAAACCCACCATGACAGCACTGCTTTGTAGATGCTTGCCTGCTCTTGAGCCCCCCGGCCAGCAGCCATCCCTTTTTCATTGCATTCT